AGGCCCGCTTGATCATAGCATGTGATCAGGCCCGCTTGATCATAGCATGTGATCAGGAGTGGCTGTCACCTCACTGTGCTCTTGTGGGTGTTTCTTTAATGACCCTCAGGAGGAAGCTCGGAAACACTTTAACTGCCCGGCCCTGGAGGGGATGGAGCTGGAGAACCAAGGCGGGATGGGCACGGAGCTCAACCACTGGGAGAAGCGCCTGCTTGAGGTCTGTCCAGTCTTGCTCAGTGTGTGTCTCCATGGAGGTTGTCCGTGCGTGCGGTAGAGGTTGGGTGAAACCTGCCTTAGTGCTATAGACCGCATACTTGGAGCTCCTAAGTTTTAAGAGATACATAGATTGTACATAATGAAACAGGTCTGTGTTAATGAACATTTAAATATTTTATTTTTAAAATTGAAATATTTTTAAATATTTTAAATAGTAAGTATATATTTTAACTATTTTTAAGACAATGTCTTATTACTCCAGGCTGGCCTTGAACTTCCTCTGCCTCTCCCTCTGAATGTTGGGATTGCATATGTGCACCACCATGCCAGGCTAAAAACTGTTGCATTTTTGCTTTGTAGTACTGGGAATTGGATTCAGTCATGTGCATGCTAGGCATTTGTTTTATTTCTGAGATATATCCTAAGTTTTCATAATAAAAAAAAAAAAAAGTTATGCTGGGCAGTGGTGGTGCCCGCCTTTAAGCCCAGCGCTAGGGAGGCAGAGGCGGTCAGATCTTTGAGTTCGAGGCTAGCCTGGTCTACAGAGCAAGTCCCAGGACACCCAGGGCTCCACAGAGAAGCCCTGTCTCGAACAACAACAACAACAAAAATTATCTTATGAGGTAGGCATGGCGGGTGCACACCTCTAGCCCCAGTACCCAGGAGGCGGAGGCAGGTGGATCTCTGAGTCTGAAGCTTCCCAGATCTGTGTAATGAGTTGCAGGCCACTCAGGGCTCCATAGTGAGAACCTGTCTCAAAAAAATAAAAATAAAAAAAGAAAGAAAAGAAGAAAAAAAAAAAGGATGTAATGACCAACTGCCATGTATGCCTCCCAGAGCGGAGGGTAGCAAATGTTCTTAGTTCAACTAAAAGTCACACTTGCAAGACCTCACCAGGTCATGTCAGACAGTTCCCGTAGAAGGACATACAGCATGCCAGCACAGCAGAATCAGGCATGTGTACGTGTGTTTCATACCCAGGAGGCTGTCAGCAGCGCCTCTGTCCCTCAGCTGCAGTACAGAAACAGGAAACCCCACCTCAGGCAGATGCAAGACTTGGTTTGGCTTAAGAGTGCTGTGACCCAAATAGGAGCTGTTACCGCCTTTGTGGTTCTACAGACTCCTTAAGGGACACACCCAATAGTCATTTTTCACAAGACTCCCAAACTGTGGCTTACAGTGGGTGTTCATGTTCATTTCAAGAAGTTCCAAGACCAGAAATGCAGCAGTAAGCCTTTTCCCCTTTCATACTGTTGCCAGGTAACATCCCATCTTTATTAGGTCTTAGGGGACTAGAGCCAGAAAGTCAATCCCAGGTCACAGTCAGTTATATGGAAAGACTCTGGAAGTAGAATTAAGACTCTGGAAGTGAATATTTCTTCTTAGAGCTCTGTTTAGACAATCTCAACAAACAGAGCTCATGACTGAAGGTCAGAAGCCTAGGAAGGATGGGTTTCTGTTTGTGCCCGCTGCTCTGATCTAGGTCACCAAAAATGACAGTGATGGACATTTGTAGAGAGATACCCATGGGAATCTCTGTCTTTGTATTCTCCTTAAGGGATTTTCGTAAGTGATCTCTTAGACTCGCTAGAGCAGCCAGAAGTGAAATCCTGGTGTACTCACTAGCAGAAGATCTGAGAACGCCAATTTTATTAGCTTCGTTGCTTCTCTTAAATCAGCCTTGTGTCCCTAAACCATGGTATTAAGGCATCAGGAAAGTACCATAAATCTTTAATCCCAACGCCCAGGAGGCTGAGGCAGACAGATTTTTGTGAGTTCAAGGACAGTAGAACAGCCAGGGCTACACAGAGAAACCCTGTCTCAAAAAACAAACAAAAATATCAGGAAGAACACTGTGGTGTAGAGACTCGGAGAGCAGCTAGAGCCGTCCAGCCAGGAGATTTGCTGCCTACAGGGCCAAAGAGCCCTTACCAGGACGATAGGAATCCCACGGTGTAAATTAAACTACTCGACAACAGGATGTTTGGCTGTAATCCTTTGATCCCCTGGTTCTGGCACACTTGTTTTGCACATTACTGTAGGTTTCTGTGATCACACAGTTGAGAGTTAGGAAAGCATCCTCTTTGCACATCCATGTAAACATTCCTCCTGACCCGAAGTGACTTGGGCACCTGGCTGGAGCACTCACTCACTTGACTTTGCTTAGGGAGCATGAGCCTTTCGCAGCAGTGGCCCCTCACTCCACCGATGCTCACGTGCATTTCACCGCTATTGCTAGCACTGCAGGGAAGTCATAAACAACGGAGCCTTAAGGCATAGAGTAGATCCTGCTTCCTCTAGCACGATATCTTAAAGCTTTTGTATTTGATCGTTCTCAAGTAAATCTTTTACCACATAAAACATCTTAAGTATGCATAGGGGTCATGGAGTCATCTTCTAATAAAATTTGTTGGTAATTTTCAGAATGAAGCAATGACTGGTTCTCACACCCAGAACCGAGTCCTCTCTCGAATCACTCTGGCATTAATGGAGGACACTGGGTAAGACGGCTGTGAGAAAATGATATGTTTATAAAATTAAATGAGTAGTAAAAATAGAGCTTAAGAAAATGCTGATCTTTTATTCGAAAGCAAAATGTACTAACTGATTCCTTTTGTGCAGTTTGTTCTTAACATAACAGAATGAATATAACAAAATCTAAGGTACCATGAAGCCATGCTAATATGGAAACTAACCTAGATAATTTTAAATTATTTAATTGAATGAGTGATCTGTAGATTCCTAGGATTTTTGTTATTGTTTTGTTTTATTTTGTGTTTTGAGAGAGAGTCCCACTGTGTAACCCTTACTGGCCAGCAACTTGGAGTGTAGACCAGCCCGGCCTCAAACTCACAAAGATCCAGCTACCTCTGTCTCTGCCTTCCCACTGCTAGGGTTAAAGCTGGGTGCTACCATTCCTAGCAAATCCCCAGTTGTGAAAGGAGTGGGTTTCTCTGGTAAATAGTGAAATATCCTATGTAAATAAAATACTTTACGTAATTTCTAATTAACAAAATCTGAGTAATTTTAGTAGAAGCATTATCACCTCTTCTAAAACAGTCTACAAGAAATTTGGAAATAGCATCAAAGTTGAAAACCAGTGATAAAAGTATTATTAAAACCATGAAAATAAACCGGCATGGTGATACCTGCCTGTAATCCCAGCACTCCAGAGGCTGACGCAGAATGACTGTGAGATCCAGCCTAGGCTATACGGTAAGACTTTGCCTCAGAAATTAAAACAAACCACGCACACAGTGAAAATAATTGATATGGCCTTAACTTTCAATGGGTCAGTGAAGTATGAAGACTTAGGGCTGGAGAGACAGACGCTCAGCAGTTAAGAGCACTGGCTGCTCTTCCGGAGGATTCACATTTAATTCCCAGCGTCCACACGGCAGTTCACAACTGTTTGCAACTTCAGTTCAAGAGGATCTGATACCGTCTTCTGGCCTCCTCAGGCCCTAGGCACACGTTATGCACAGACATACATTCAGACAAAGCACCCATACAATTTCAAAAAATTCAAGAAATTTTCAAAATAAAAATGAAGGCTAGATTTTTAAAAATTTTTAAAGTTGTCAAGTTTAAAGTTTAAAAAAAGTGCCAAGGCAACTTCTGAGAGAAAGGCTTATTTTGGCTTACGTGTTCAGAGGCTTCAAGTCCTTGATGGTGGAGCAAAGGAACAGCCTTGAGACACAAAGAGTACTGGGCATCACACCTCAAAGCCCGCCCCCAGTGACCTGCCTCCTCCAACAAGGCCACACCTCCTAACCCTTCCCAAATAGATTTACCAAATGGGGACCAATTATTCAACTGTATAAGCCCGTGGAGCCATTCTCATTCAAACCACCATAGAAGTATAAAGATTTTGAAATATAGAAGTCATTGCTGACTGTGAGAACTGTTTCAAAAAAAAAAAAAAAATGAGGGGAATGGGTAGTGGCTTAATGGTAGAACACTTGCCTAGCATACTCAAGGTTCTGTCCCCAGTATAGATGCCCCCGCTCAGTAACTATAGTGATAATAATAATGATGAGAATAAGAATTTCTCTTTTCTGTTTAATGAGAGCCAAAAATGTAGGTCAGAAAGGATTTGTTTGAGACAGCTTTTCCTAACAGTACAAGATAAATGAGTTCCAGAGAACCAAGAACAAACTAATGAGAGAAATAAATCAGCTCAGGTGGGGATCAGTTTCCTGCCTGTTAATTCAGGAAGGAAGAGCGAGAGTGAAAATGCAGGTCATTTTGTGGGTAGAGGCAGGATGTTGAAGAAATTCAGAGATGATGGTTTCCATGCCACTGTCATTCAGAAGTCCAACCCCAAGGGAGAGAGGAAGGCAGAAATAGTATGTAAGTAGATAAACAAGTAATGGGCATTGCTTATGACAACCTCCACAAATCTAGTTTTTTTGTTTTCTTTGTTTGTAGGATTTTTGGTGGTGATGGTTTGGGGGGCAGCGGACGGGGCTCACTATCCCAGGCTATATTGAACTCTGCCTCCTCCTGCCTCTGCCTTCCAAGTACTGGGATTACAGGTTTGTACCACAAGCAGCTACCATAATCTCCTTTACCCAGTGGGGTGATACCACAGAAAAGACAGCATGCTCACATCCTTCAAAGGTAGCTGATAGCACTGTGAAAAGTCCTTAGTAGCATGCAAAATTTGAAAGAAAAAGTTACATTCTAGAAAGTAATAGCGAATATTTTAGGTTCTTGTGGGATATTATTCTTTTAAGTATTTTTGATATGAAATATACTAACATACACAAAATGCATGGAGGAACAGTGACTCTCAGATGCCTGTATCCTAGAGTCAGAAATATGGGGTCTTTTGTACTTGTGACATTGTCTTTTTTATCTTGAAAGTTGAAGATATTATTCCTGTGTATTCCACTACAAGTTCCTGTAATATATAAACCTTGGAAAGGAACCATTAACAAAATTAATACTTTAAAAATATTTATACTGTCTTGTGTATTATCATATCCTCCTTTGTTTTCCTCCTTGGTCTGTTAACCTAAACCTTTTTCACATGTTCTACACAAGTATGTGGTTTCATTGGCGTAATGCCTCACACCACAGGAAGCGCTGGCAGAAACACTACGACCTTCAGTAGGAAAAGAACACTTTAACCATTGGTGCTGGGACCAGGCCAAAATGGAATAAGACCTAATTTAATAGCTGAAGCTATAAAGCACTCAAGATAAAGCAGATGTGGACCTTGATAATACTAGATTAGGAAATGATTCTTAGGTCTAACACCAGAAGCTCTAGCAACCAAAAAGAAAATTTGGACTTCATCAAGAAATTTAAAACTTGTGCCTCAAAGAATATTATCAAAAAAGTACAAAGATAATTCACTAAATGAGAAAAAAATTTACATTTATTGTATGACTATTCAGTATCCAGAATACATAGAGGAACAGTGAATGGCAGAATAGGAAAAAGGCCATAGACAAAAAGCCATAGTTTAAAAAGAGATGAAAAAAAAAAAAGTATTTAGGACAGAAATTTAATGCTTTAATTCCAGCATTCCGGAAGCAGAGGCTAGCCTAGTCTACAAATTGAGTCTAGGACAGCCAGGGCTATTCCACAAAGAAACCATATCTTGAAAAAACAAACAAACAAAAAAAAAAAGTGTTTCTTCAAAAAGATATACAGAGGCAAATGAGCATACGGGAGATGCACAACATCACGTCATTAGCAAACTTCTGACTGAAACTCTGAAGAGATGACTGCTTACGCAGCACTCAATACCAGCAAATCCCAGCAAGGACGTGGGGTATGAGGAATTCAGTCACTGCCAAGAGGCAGTAAATGATTCAGCCAGGTAGGAGGAGAGTTTGGGAATTGCTAATAAAGCCGGAGATGTTCTTACCATACAACCAGTTAAGATATTTACAAATGAGTTGAACTCCTTTTTTGTTGTTGTTTTGTTTTGTGTTTGTTTGTTTGAGACAGGGTTTCTCTGTACAACAGCCCTGGCTGTTCTGGAGTTTGCTCTGTAGATCAGGCTGGTTTTGAACCCACAGAGATCTGCCTGCCTCTGCCTCCCAGGTGCTGGGATTAAAGATGTGAACCACCACAACCTAGCTTGAGTTGAGATCTTATTCCTGAAAGAAAAGCCTACACAGAGATGCTTATACTGGCTGGATAAACAAGCTGTGGGAGATCAGAGCAGCTTATTTAAAGGATTTATTTAATGCTAAAAACAAATGAGCTACAAAGCCATGAAAAGACATGGCTATGAATTAATGAATGGAAGAAGCCAATCTGAAAAGGCTTCTGTACAACTATAGCTATATGAGGAAGGGTGAGAGAGACAATGTGATGAGGGGTGGTGGCCAGGGTTAACTCAGTAAAGAGCAATGAATATGCAGAAGACAGAAAGGACTGCTAAGTCATGCTGTGTGGCACTGTGGCGATAACATTCCTTCCCTCTCCCTTCGTTTCCCCTTTCTTGCGGTACTGGAGATCAAACTTAGGGATTTTATGTACACTTGCTAGGCAGAACATACTTACCTAAAAGAGCATACAATACCAAGAGTGACCCCTAATGTGAACTATGGATTTGGCGAAGCAATGGCATTCCCATGTAGATTCACTGGTGTGACCAATATATAACTTTGATGAGGGACACTGTGAGTGTGTAAAGATAGGGAGAGTCTAGGAACCCTTTGTACCCTCTTCTCAATTTTGCTTTAAACCCCCATACCAAAATCTGTTTAAAGAGAGAGAGAGATTCTGATATACACTATAACATGTATGAGCCTTGAAAATATTATGTTAAGTGGAAGGAAAAGACTAATCCCGTTTCTCGGAAATATGCAGCAAATTCGTAGAGACTGACAGAGGTTTGTGTTCATCAGGAATGGGAGACGAGGACAGAGAAGGGTGATGGAAGAATCCTGAAATTAGATTGTGATGGCATGACCGTGTGTGTATTCTAGAGGCATGTGTGCCCGTTAGGAAGATTAATTTCATGTTGTGTGGATTGGATCTCATTTTTTAAATCACATAGAGACATTGAAACCAAAACTCGACATTCCAGGCATTATCACTTACTAGCGTGTACCTTTGCCTGAGTTTCCTCGCCTGTAAAGGAGAGGTAACAGCGGTACCCATTCCACGGAGGTTTCTGAGGCTTGACTGAGCTACTCTATGGAAAGCCCTAGTATAGCCCCTTAGCATTTGTAATTTTCAACCAGGTGTTGGGATTTTATGTAAAACCTGAACCGAAGTCTAATGAGAAAAGATTTACTGTTCACAGCTCAGTCCTTCATTCTGTTGCTTTTGAAAGAAGGAAAGTCTCATCAAACCCACCAAGTGACCGCACAGCTCTGGAAAGCCCTGGGAACCCTGTCTTTAGTGCTTCCTAATAAAAGCCCAAGGTCCCCCCACCAGCTTTAGTTCCGCTGGTAATACCCACTTTTTACTTCTCTTTTGTGAAACTCGTTATTTAAGATATTTTCGTTTATCTGTCTTCCTCACTAGATTAGAATTTTTAATTTTTTTTTATTTGGTATCTTGTCTGTTTATTTGAGACAGGGTTTCACTGTGTAGTTCTGTCTGGCCTGAAACTCACGTTGTAGACCGGGCTAGCCTCAGATTCACAGAGCTCTGCCTGCCTCTGCCTCCCCAGGGATTAAAGGATGCACCACCATGCCCAGCTTGTCTTCATTTGTGTGTGTCTATGTTCCATTATGTGGGTACCCACAGAGACCAGAAGAAGGCCTGGGGTCCCCTGGAGCTGGAGTTACGACCATTGTGAGCTGCCTGACATGGCTGCTGGGAACTGAACTTGAGTCCCAGGACATAGTCTTAACAGCTTAAGACTCTTAAGAGCAGGACATAGTCTTAACAGCTAAACATCTCTCCAGGCCTAGAGCAGAAATTTTCTGTAAACAGAAAACTGTTTGTCTGTTCTGTTGTGGTTAGCATTTAGCAAACAGCGTCTAGCTTATGACAGGAAACACCATCAAGGGGGAATCAGGATATATGGGGGAATGCCTACCTGGGGTGGAGTAATATCTTAGCCACTCTCTACTTGGTAAGTTATATCAGTTTTTGAAAATTGCAATGGAACTATGTTTTCTAAATATGAAAGTATTTCCCCATAGGGCGGTATAGTTCTAGAACTTCTGCAAATTAAACTCACCCCTCGCTGCAGTGACCCTGTTAGAAATAATCTCAGTGTCGCACGAAGGAACACTCTTAAGTTCTGTCAATGCAATTCTTTTTGTTCAAAAACAATGCAACAGAACCAAATGGGGCTATCCGCACACGAGGGCCTTCACGGGTCCTTTCCCGGTTTAGGTGGGTACTGTCTCCTCTAGTTGCTGGGAGTTCAGCCATACAGACAGATGTGCTTTGCTAATCAATGTGAAGGGGAAGAGGAAGGATCAGGAAATAAGGGACTTTTTTTGGTTTTTGGTTGTTGTTGTTGTTGTTTTCTTTTTTGAGACAGAGTTTCTCTGTGTAGCCTTGGATGCCCTGGAATCACTGTGTAGGCCAGGGTGGCCTTGAACTCACAGTGATCCAGCTGCCACTGCCTCCCTGAGTGCTGGGATTACAAGCATGTGCCACTGCGCCCGGTGAAATATGAGTCTTTGCTGGCTAAACTGCCCTTGATTTAAAAGCCCTTTCTCACTATCCTGTGTAGCAGGCTCCCCCAGATCCCACTTGAGCAAGGCCCTTACACATGTGCAGCTCTGGCCATGGCCTCCTGGGTCCCTCCTGAGTCGCAGCTCTGCATGTTGCTGAGATCTGTAGTAGCTGCAGGATCGGTAAAAGGTGCTTTCTTTGCATTGTTTCCACAGCTGGTACAAAGCAAATTACAGCATGGCTGAGAAACTGGACTGGGGCCGAGGAATGGGCTGTGAATTTGTCAGGAAGAGCTGTAAGTTCTGGATCGATCAACAGAGGCAAAAGTAAGAATGTTTCCACCCAGTATCTTTGTGCAGTTAATTTCTGACTGTGTTATTTGTCGTAAGCATAAAATACCAGCTCCTGTGTGTAGAAAATGTTCTATAAGTTCTTCATAATAAATCATACCTACAGGATTGCTTTGAGTCACATACTAGAAGAATCCACAGTAAGGTGGCCAGAGCATCTGTGAGCATTCTTTAGCTTATAATTCATAAGCACATATATTTTTTAAGCTTTTTGCGTGTTCTCTCATTTTTCCTGTTTTCTTTAGAGAACGCACACATGAATATACAAGCAAATGTTGATTCAGTATCCAGAAACTGGACTAAGGATGTAGTTCAGTAGTAGAATGCCTGTCTAGCATGTGCCAAGCCCTGGGTTCGATCCCCAGCCCTGAAAATTAACTATTCTCTTGATTGGGGTTTTAAGAACTGGATGCTTATGCTAATCGCCTATCAAGCTCTTTTAGGTCTGAGTATCATCTTTAGCATGGGTACACACACACAGAAAGAGAGAGGAGACACAGAGATATTTCTGTAACTATAACCCTAATCTGAACAGTTATGTATATGAAGATATAAACACATATGAAAGCCGCGATTCCCTGTAGTTAATTTCTGATAGGGAGCATCTTGAAAAGCTGGCCTACAGCGTTCTCCCAGGGCATTGACATAGGCTCGGTCAGACTGAGAACAATCTGTCACAAGGACCACTCAGGTGCTGATTTAGACATGTCCACTTCCCCCCCAACCCAGTTCCTCCTTAAACTCTGGAAACCAGCAATCTATTGTCCATTTCTGTATTTTGAAGAATACAGAAAGATGTCATGGAAAGTTTAAGCATTAAATGAATGTTATATGTGCCCTGTGAATGGCATTTTCCACTCAATGTTTACATTCAACCATTTTATTGTGTGTATTATTAGTTTGTGTTTTTGTTTTTCTTTGCTTTTGAGACAAGGTCTTACTATGTCTGTAGGCTTTGCCAGCTTAGTACTAAGTGGACCAGGATGGACTTAAACTCACAGCAGTCTTCCTGCCCAGCCTCCCAAATGCTGAATTATAAGCATGAGGAACCATGCTAATCTGAGCTTTTTATGGCAGAGTAGTTTTCCATTATATGGATATGCCACAGTTTGTTTAAACAGTCATATTTTGAAGACATCTTGGTCATTTCCACTTTGGAACTATTGTGAGTAAAGTTGCTATAAACTAGATATGGCTCTCAGAGCATGTATATCATGTTACTTAACATGTTTTATTGATTAATTGATTCGCTGGTGGTTTTGCCTGCATGTATGTGTGAAGGTTTCAGAAGCCTTGGACCTGGAGTAGTAAGCTGCTATGTGAGTGCTAATCAAAGAGCCAGCCACTGAGTTCATGTCAGAGACAGCCCCTGTTCCTCTTACTAGGGAGCCCACTTGGATACTGAGCTGCCATGGGCTACATCTGTGCAGGGGTTCTAGGTTATTGCCATGCATGGTCCTTGGTTGGGGTATCAGTCTCAGAAAAGACCCCTGGGCCCAGATTTTTTGGTTCTGTTGCTCTCCTTGTGGAGCTCCTATCCTCTCCAGGTCTTACTGTCTCCCCCTTCTTTCATAAGATTCCCTGCACTCTGCCCGAAGATTGGCTATGAGTCTCAGCATTTGCTTTGAGATACTGCTGGGTAGAGTGTTTCAGATGCCCTCTGTGGTAGGCTCCTGTCCTGCTCCCTGTTTTCTCCTTCCAGTGTCCATTCTGTTTGTCTTTCTGAGTGAGGACTGATCATCTTACCCAGGGTCCTCCTTCTTGCTTAGCCTCTTTAGGTGTACCGATTTTAGTATGTTTGTCCTATATTATATTTCTAATATCCACTTCTAAGTGAGTATATACCCTGTGTGTCTTTCTGCTTCTGGGATACCTCACTCAGGATGGTCTTTTCTAGATCCCACCATTTGCCTGCAGATTTCATGATTTCCTTGTTTTTAATTGCTCAGTAGTATTCCATTGTGCTTTCATTTTCATTTCGTTTAACTTAGTCTTGTTTCTCTCAAAGACGTCAATCTACAAGTAGCTGGGATTTTCCCTGTATCTTTATTCCTTTCTAGTTTAATTATGTTATTACCTGGGAGTGGTCTTGGTATACTTTCCCATCATTGGGTAGCTTGTGTTTGGTCCAGGATATGGCTTTCTCAGTGAATGTTCCTTTGAACTTGAAAGGAGCATGCAGCCCGATGTTGTTGGTGAGAGTGCTTCTAAGCTGGGGTGTGTCCATGCTGAGCCTGCCCTCTGACCCTGCATGCTGACAGGTGAAATCTGCAGGTCAAGGTGAAGGTGCCTGTTCCTTACGGCAGCTCTAGCACGGTACCTCGTGTTTTGATGGTTTTGGTAGATGTGACGCAGGCTGGCTTCAAACTCATGATCTTCCTGCCATGGCCTCCCCTACTTATTCACCTGCAGCCCCGGAGCAAGCTGCATTCTTAAATGTAAAGTAGACTTTCCAGTGGCACGGTCTGGGCCTGAAGATTGCTCTAAGAGTTCTAACATTGTGAACTAAGCTTCCGTAATACGTACAGGCTACTCGTGTTGTCTGTTTCACGCTGAATAAATTGTGCCACTTTATGGTTTCTTGAGAGATTGGTCTATTTTATTATCTGAGTTATCATATCTATGTATATAAGGTTGACTTTACCTGTAATCCCAGTTACCTTTTAATTGTCTGTCAGGCTGCTGTGACGCGCTGTTTCAGTCCTAAGACTGGCAGTGGGTACCTTCTCTCTTTGTTTCTTTCCAGAGAGTTTTTATTTTATTAATCTTCCTTAACCATCAGTGTTTGGGAACTGCGGATATAGCTCAGTCAGTAGGGTGTTTTCCTAGCGTGCCTGAGGCACCGGGTTTCATCCCCACTACCACATAACCTTGGTGTGCTGAAGAAAACCGTAATCTACTCCAGAGGTGGAGGAAGGAGGAGCAGAAGTTCAAACTCATCTTCATCGAGGCCAGGCGGCATCCATTTTGAATCATCGCTGTCATGTGCTCTGTTCTCACACTGGCTGCTGCTCTTTTCTTCTGCATATTTCTTTCTGCTGTTCTGGCCATTTGCTCCTTTCTTCAGAGTCTGGAACTGTTTGGTTAGAGGCATTGCTTCTTTCCATGTCTTTAATAACTTTAGTCTCCTGAACTTCAGTATGCTGTAGCTTTCTTGCTTTCTTTTTTTTCTTTTCTTCTTCTTCTTTTTTTTTTTTTGACAATGTTTCTCTGTGTAACCCTGGATTTGCTTTGTAGAACAAGCTGGTCTCAAACTCCCAGAGATCCGGCTGCCTCGGCCTCTCCAAGTGCTGAGATTACAGACATTCACCACCAAGCCCAGCTCTCTGTAGCTTTCTTCTCGTCTAGTTAAAAGTATTTTTCCCAAAACAACCTGTTTGACCTGTGGCTTATTTACTAGTATGTCATTTTCAAGGGTTTGACAGTTTCCATGTCACATTTTTGCTCTTGAAGCCTAGCCTGATTTCAGCATGGTGGAGGAGACGCTCTATGACTTGAGTTGTTCTGAACTTACTGTGGCTCAGAACAGGCTTTGTTGTGCTGTGTGTACCCGAGCACTTGGAAGGAATTCATATCCTGCTGTTGTTTGGGGGAGTACTATGGCCAGGTTCACGATGTCTTGTGTGTTGACAGTGCTAACTCCTTTTATGGCCTTGCTCATTTCCTACTTCTTATTCTACTGACCGTTTTAAATATTTTAAATTACTTTTAAAATCTGTTTATATTATTTTGCATGTCTACACTGTGTGTAGGGAATGTGCATGCCGTGGCACTTGTGGTTGGTCAGAGGAGACTTCCCCCACTTTTCTGTGGGGTCTGGGGAAGAACTCAGCCCACAGGAAACACCCATGAGCTGCGTGGCTGCTCCGTCCTCAGCTGCAGAGCAACTCTGCCAGTGCCCTACCCCTGAGGCCCTAACTACACTCTTAGCCTGCACTCTGCTCTCTGCTTTTCCACGTCTTTTGCTTTTGTTGGTTCACTGTAACTCCAGTGCCAGGGCTCCAGCAGACTGCAGTTGAACTTCAAATGAAGAAGAGAGAAAAATGCAGCTGTTCCGTCTTCCATGAAGGAGAAATGAGACGTCATACTTTTAGATTTTAAAAATGTCCCCTCAGTAATTGAGCTCATTCAGACTGTGGACCTACAGAACTGGATTTTAGTGATAAGGGTGTAGAAAGGTTTAATGGAATTTTTTTTTAATAAGGTGTAATAATGCTCTTAGTATCTAGATGAATCTTCCACATCTATGTTCAGCATCCCTCTACTCTGGGGAAACTCTTGATAACTTGATTAGAAATTTACTATAAACTGTTAAACTGGAGATTATAGCCAAAAAGACAGTCTCTAACGGACCTGTAATACTTTCTTTTGAATGTGATGCTGAGATGTGCAGACCCTCCGTTCAGCAGGCCGTTGCCATGGAGCATAGCCTGACAGTAGCTTGCCTTTCTTGTGCGCAGGAGGCAGGTGCCGAGCCCGTACTGCGACACGCTCAGGAGTAACCCCCTACACCTGACATGCAGACAGGACCAGAGAGCCGTGGCTGTGTGCAACCTGCAGAGGTTCCCTAACCCCTTACCGCCGGAGTACCAGGTAACACCAGTTCCCAGCACAGCTTCAAGAACTGACTTTTTAAAAAGGACTCTCTGTTTTAATTTAAAAAGTAAATCAGCCGGGCGCAGTGGCACACGCCTGTGATCCCAGCACTCAGGGAAGCAGAGGCAGTCGGATATCTGTGAGTTCAAGGCCAGCCTGGTCTACAAAGTAAGTCCAGGACAGCCAGGGCTACACAGAGAAACCCTGTCTCAAAAAACAAAAACAAAAAACAAACAACAAATAAATCTCTTAAATTTTTTATGGTGTATGTTCCTGTGTGTTCTCTATGTTAGAAAAAGAAAGAAACGCCTCGCAGAACCCTCTTTTCTTCAAGGCTAATGTGCTGCTCATCAGTCACACAACACCTAGCTGTGCCTTGAGACAGCAGCCATGCGAACTCCAGGATCCTGGCCCATCTCCCCAGCAGTGGGATCACTGGGCTTCCCCTGCGCCATCTGCATGGATCCCGAGTATCGGACACTGGTTCTCATGTCTATCAGAAAGTGCTTTGGCCACTAAACTGCCTCCCCAGCTTCTGATCTGATCTTCTGCTTTCTAATTATTGCTAATGCCTCCTTCAAATTTCTCTCATTTATTCAGAAAGCAAAAGTCTTAAAAGAGAATAATTTAGTTACTCTGATCCAGCTACCTAGAAGATGGAGGAGGGCGCAGGGCTTAACACAGCTGCTCTTGAGAGGACCTGGGTCCCATTCCCAGCACCCACGTGGTGGCTTACTGCTCTCTGTAACTCCATACCAGAGCTCCAGCAGACTTCCTGGCCTCTGCGGGCATGGAGTGCCCACACTGTACACTTACATGCAAAATCCTTGAACCCAAAATTGATAGATAGATAGATAGATAGATAGATAGATAGATAGATAGATAGATAGATAGATA